GTGTTGAATATAAATGAGTACAATTTAAACGTAGTTTATCTTACATTTTGTCTGAGGGTGGCTTCATTTTGCTGACAGGCTGCTAGCGACGTCCCTCATTGGTTCAATCTGCGACACTTGTTTCTGTAAAGTTCCTCAAACATCGCTGCATTTAATTTCATGAATATTGTTTTTATTGCTGATGGTGCGAAACCTTGTAATAGTGAAAAGGAACAAACTCCGACCACTTCCCGTGTCAGTGTGACTTCAAAAGAAAAAGTTTTACATTTATTTTCTCAGATGTTTGCATTGTTGGAGCATCTATGTCGTGTTAAAGCTTTTACTCTGTAAAATTCACTGAGGTACTTTTCACTGTTTAATGCCTGTGATTGAAACGGCTGAACCTGATTGAAAAAACACTAACGAGTGTCTTTAATGAAGTCGACGTGCATGGAGCTACAGTGCTGTAACGTGTTTGTGTCTCTGGACTGGAAGCCGGCTGGTGACTCACTTAACACCCCAGAGACGTCACTTTCTAACAGACCACATTCACAAACCTGGAGAACAGAGTTCACATTGTACTGGTTTTAGGTTTTACTGGAGCCGAAGGCAGAAACATTGGTAGTGATCGATGCTTGGGATGTCAGTGACTACAAAAGACCAGTTTTCTAAATGTTGAAAAGAGTTAATAACTGACTTAAAAAAAAAAAAGTACAGACAATTTAGACACAGTATACATCACAAGCACTACTTATTTATCCAAAGACATATCGTAAATTCTGGACTATAAGCAGCTACTTTTTTCGCACGCTTTGAACACTGCGGTTTAAAAGATTATGCGGCTAAGTTATGGATTTTTACGAATTTGCCTCGAGACGTAAGTAACAATGAGAGTGACAACGAAAGAGAGACTGAGGAAGTGTGTGACGAAGTAATTCTGAGGCTGTTCAATTCTGACACTGAAGAAGACGACTTTAGTGGTTTTAGTGCAGGAGGAAGATGAAGATAGAGATCAATGACTTTTCCTGGTAGGCTACTGTAGTTTTTATTTTCTTAACCAGCTGTGTTACAGGCACTGTTTGGAAAAAAGTATGTATTTATTTAAAGTAAGTATGTTAAGTATGTATGTATTTAATTAAAAGTTTAAAAAATCTTTCTGTGTAAATATCTCATGTTACAACGTGGACACCTGCGGCTTATAGACAAGTGCGGCCTGTATACGTACACAACTTGTTTTCTTTTTAAAGTTAGTGGGTGCGTCTTATATTCAGGTGCCTCAATAGTCCGGGCATTACGGTAATAACATACCCTTTTAAAAATCACCTACATATACCGACTGACCTGTCAGCGGTTGCCATCACAGAAAAGTATGCTCTTGGACATTACACATTTATTAACAACTGCAGTATACTTTTGATATTGCTGCACATATTTCACAGCTTAAGCTTCTCATTCGCTGGTTGTCTTTGTGCTGTTTGAGACTTTGACACAGTCTTAGGACAAAACAAATCATCTGAAGATGTTAATTGTAGGCAATTGAAAGACCTAATGAATAATTAACTGAAGTCAATCTGCAGATCAGCTAACGGTGGTTATTAGTTACTCTCCCAACGTGCCTTTGTCTGCCACTTATTTAAGACAATGATTTTAAAACTGTATCAAGAAAAATGAAATGTTGGAAATAATAATCAGGCAAAGTTCTGGAAAAATACCCTTTGATACCAGTGGGGCTTTAAGACTACCACGGAAATTGTTTGAGACCACTATTGTGAGGGTATTTCCCAGCTCAGAATAGACCGGTGTAAAACACTTGACTGTTATAATACAAGAGTCCCAGTATACTAACCAGCATTATATCTCTTTTGATACCCAGGTCTAGGGTTAGTGTAACAATAACTCAAACCCTGAGACATGATTTCTCAAATGCTCTAAACACAAACAAAAACTCTGCCTCAAGGAAAAAGGTCTAGACAAGGTAAAAAAAAAATCAGAAACAAATCGGATCAAATGAAAAGCAAACAAGACTATAAATCTCTGCGTGTCTCGTGGGCCGACAGCTTCAAGAGACTGACCATGTAAGTGCAAAATCAAGTTTGAGTTCAGCTTAGGACCATTGTTGCATGCCATACCCATGTCTCTCCACCCTTTTCCTGTCACTCTCTTATCTAACAGCTGGTACCAACAACGTATTCAGAGTTGATACACCGCCCTCATTTTCCCCTCCAGTACAATGTCTATTTATTTTATTACAGCTCTGTTATTGTAAGCACTGATGAAAAAGAAGCCAGCGATACACAAACTCTCTCATACCCTTGAACTGAGCAGTGTTGTGAATGAAAGGCACATAAACTTTTTTTTTTTTTCCCCCCGACTCACAGTCAAACTTTCACTGTCACAATAATAAACACAGCACGGCGGAGCTCACACTCGGCAAAAGTCCGCCGCTATTTACTACTAACATGTTTAGCTTCATTTTCTCAGCAGACCTTGGCAAACAGAGGTCAGCTTTAACCGCGCCATTCCTCCCTGGTGTTTCGGAGGCTGTTTTTAGAAGCAGGAGGCACCCCCACAAAAGGCCCAGAGGAGCAGCCAGGGAAGAGCAGAGGCAAAAGATCTGGTTGAATGTAGCTCTTGGGGTCACAAACCAAAACCAAGAGGAAGGCCCACTCCACAATTTAGCAGCAAAAATAGACAATTCTGTGCCAAAAATGATATGCAGAGGAATGGTAAAAAACAAAGGCACCAAGGGAAGTTATCATATTGTAGAGAAAATACAAAATCGCTGGACTTCTGAGAAACCTAAAAGATGCAAAAAGACTGCTAAAGGTTTGTGAGTGCTGGTTGGGAATTTGGTTCAGTGCCTACAAGTCAACAGCTCTTCTGGGATCATCGCTTGTAGACCTGCTTTCAGGTGTGTGTGGATGCGGTGGAGGTAAACGGCTGTAAAAGGCGATTATTTGTACCACTTTACGCCTCTAAGCTCGAGATGTTCCCCTGCAGCACAGCGCATGTGTTGCAGAGTGCAACCGTACACATTCATCACTTGTGTCCCAAAGGGGGCAGAGCAACACACAAACCACAGAGTGCACATTCATCACTTCCGTCTCAAGGCGACAAGTTTGCACATAAGGTGTGTGTCGCTCACCAACAACGAAACAAACGCACACATTCATGACAACATGTCCAGAAGAAAGGCCTGGGTGTGGCTCGCTGTTGTATGTGTGGAGTAAGTGGCGTCGTAAATCAGGTGGGAGCCGGGCCCCTGTTGCAGCAGCTGCTCCCCGGGGGCCTGAGGTCACATCCATTCAGCTGGTGGCTACTGGCTCCGCTACCGGCTTTCAGCTCCCCCACCGTCCTACATTTACCCTCCTCCTCAATTAGCCTCCTTCCCCTCCTCCTCCTCCTCTCCTTACTGTCCTTCCTCCGCCCCCATCGCCTTCCATATCTCCTTCCAGCATCCCCTCAGCCCTTGCCTCTCTTCCTGCCTCCATTTCCTTGATTAAACTGAGCTCTGATTCTGCACTGTGGAGTCAGCGCGGTCAGCTGCATTTATAAGGCCTTCATCATGCTGCAGATGTAGCGAGGGTAACAGGATCGCTGCTTGATCCAATCAATGGAAGCTGTGCAGCCTGTCAATCATGCCCTGCGTGGGTAATAACAAGCAGCAAGCTCTTCATGTCCTGTCAGAAAGCCACGGTATGAAACCTGATATCTGTTTTATGCATTCAGCCTTAAAACCACACACAACACATCCATAGCTGTTTGCTACAGAAGCGTTGGCTCTTCAGTGACTCATGCTTTCAGCAGTGCTAAACTCCTAACATGACCCTTCCGCTGAGCTGTCTCATGTGACGTGATCCCTGAGTAATTAGCAGAAATCGTGTGAGATCATTTGTTGAGGGTTTTTTTTTATATATGACCATCACATTAAAGATGGGAGCAGCAACAGCCTGTTGCATCTGCTGCTGCTGCAGTGCTGAAAGGATGAATAGCTGAATGGGGATCACAGTATCCACGGGACACATTGGTTTGACAGTGACACACACACACAAAACACAAAATATGACACTAAAATGTATTCAACGATACTAGATCCAACGGTGACATCAGCCACTATGACTCACGCTGCTACTGTAACAGACTGCCAACAGAATCTCATTGAATGTTCATGTACGATGATAATAGAGGCATGTTTAATCTAGCCTGCACTACACTGCACTGTACAATACTATACTATAATATACTATACTATACTATACTATACTATACTATACTATACTACACTATACTATACTATAATATAATATACTATACTATACTACACTATACTATACTATACAAAACTCTACTGTACTATATAATATTCTATACTACATTGTTCTATACTATAAAAAATCCACTGTAATATTTAATATTCTATATAATACAATAATGTGTTTTACTATGCTACTATATTATCCTAAAGCATACTATACTATAATGCACTATACTGCTGTACAAAGCTCTATACTGCAGTATACTATGAAGTACTGCACTATACTACAGTGTAAAGCACCAAGAACACCATCATGTATATTACAATACTGTACCATATCACTACACCATGCTATACTGTACTGTACTATACTGTACTACACTTTAAAGTACTCTAACATTGTGTAATACTACACAGTGATACACCATTATGAAGTATACTCCATCACACTAAACTATACATCTCCATCACTATACAGTTAAAAAAAAATCACTTTGAAACACAACATTTAAATAAATAAGCACCTTTAAAAGCTTTAAACTTCCATCTTCACCTCATAGAAAGTAAAAATACACGACAGAGTGGCCAAACAACTGAGATACACAAATTACCTTCATGTACCAGAGAACACGAGCAGGCGATGCTCACTGCTGTTCAGACTATCAACACAAATATAACGGTAACACCGTGAAACCTCATTAGTCTAGGATTAAAAACCACAAAAAAACTAATCTGTGACAAGGGGGTGACTTGTTAGCTGGCTCACCTCGGCGCTGTGTCGTTATTTCCCGGCAGCAGACGGAGGGAAGCTAGCCGTCCTCGTCCGGCTCCTGATGAGCCGCTCCGCCACCAACTATCTGCCCCGCTGGCACCGGGGGGGGACTCTGTCTCCTCCAGAAAGTCAGCGCAGGTTCGTCCCGCTGCTCATTCCCCTCAAACTCCCCCTCCACAGAGAAAACGTCTTCAGTGAGGGTGAACAAAAAGCAATTCGTGGGAGCAGTTCGGTAGCTGGGAGGAGGAGGAGGAGACGGTATCCGTCCGGACCTCTTTCCCTCGGTGTGGTCAGAGCAGAGCGGAGAGTCAGAGCCGCAGAGCCCCGCTGCTCTGGAGAGCCGCGGCGGAAAGATGGAGGCGCTGTGGCGGAGCTGTTCCGGTGTGGGCCTTCAAAATAAAAATAATAAAGACTAAACAAAATATATTGTACTGTAGCACATTTACTGTTGTAGAATTTAAATATCGTATGTACGCTATTTCATTTATTATGCACAAGTGTTACAGTAGTTTAGTTACTGTTTTATTTTTATTTGATTTGATTAGATTTTTTTGGTCTTTCTTTACTTGGCAAAGCGAGAAGAAAAAAAAAGGAAATTGTAAATTTTACTTATGAAACTCTTTGTATTGTATTCTTTTTTTCCTGCTTGCTTTTTTAAAAATAAATATTATTTTTTGCTTTTTTTTAATTTTTATCTTTGTACAACTATTCATTTTGTGTTGCTACTGTGGTCAAACTATTTCCCTTGTGAATCAATAAAGTTCATCTAGGTATAGGTCTAAATAGGAGCATGCTATTTTTATATTATATTGTGCATATTGGAGCTCTAATCCTGCCCTGTCACCTGTTTTCACAGCAGTGGCACCAGTTTTCCTTCATGCATTTACAAAGGCACAACCAGGACTTTGTAATAATTGAGGTAGAATGATTCAAATCGCATTTGTTCAAATAGCACGTTTTAAAACAACCTGAGTTGAGAGGCAACAACAAAAATGTCAAATATAAAACAGGGTAAAACTTGCAAAGTTGCAGAGCACCTAACGAGACTTGTCGGAGAAAAAAAAAAAGATGCCAAGTATCTCATGTGCACGAGAAACACGAGCACCACGTAGGTTTCATATGTGAACGGTATACAGGCTGATGTGGGATGCTGGGGATTTAGGCTCTTTGAAGGGAGCTGGTAGCAAAACTATTTGTAAATGTGTATGAAGCTTTGTGTGTCTGTATCTCAATCTGTGTGTCCATAGTGTGATTTGTTCACATGTGAAACCCATGTGGTGCTCATGACGTAGTATCTTGTGTGCACACGAGAAACTTGGCGTCTTTTCTTCTTTCTCCAACATGTCCCTTTAGTAGGTTGAGGACATGTAGGACAAAATTCTGAAATGAAGTAAAAATAAATTGCTAAAATGTTACAACCACTTTAAACAACCAACACCCATTGAAAACATGTACGTCCTGGGAGGAACATGTGATTGAAAAGCATAAACTGTTCCAAAGTTTTGGAGCTGCCGTTGCAAAGGAACAACCTCCCTGACTACTAGTTTCCATTGTGGAACACTTACCAGCAGCTGTTCTGAGGTTCTGAGAGGCCCAGAGGTAGAGTCGGGGCGGACGAGTTCTGAAATGTACCCAAGAGCAAACACATGCATGGCTTTAGAAGAAACCAATGAATTCAGTTAGAGGTGTCACATAACAAAATGCTGTGTAAACATTATATTGCTTTCAAATTTCCAAAGAAAAAAACTTTTACTTTGAAGGCAGATATCACTGTTTTCCTGTCTCAGTTCAGCTACATTTCTATTACTTGACTCGGACAATCCTGCTGACGTCACCGTGGAGGACACCCCCACTCACATAATTGACTATTTATACAGATGCTGCCATCAAGTCTGTTTAATGTTACATCAATCTGTAACTCTAATAAAGTGCTCATCTTTTATCACCGTCATCATCATCATCACCATCACAGTCATCCTTACCAGCACCATGTACCCACCGGACAAAGATAGCAACAGGGTTACTGGAAGAGCAGGCCTCTCTTGTTACGCAGTATAATGAATACACATTTCTGTGTATGTGTGTATATAATTTAGCAATAAAGCAAACTTTTAAATTAGATTTTTTTAATATAATTTCAGCACCTCTGACTGTGTTTTCTTCCTTCACTGTGTTTTGATGTCATGGTTAAATGTGTAAAATCCAGACAAACCCTCAGAATAAACAGTTTCCGTGCGACAGCTGACTGCTGAGGAATGATAACGTGTTATTTAGAAAATCTTCTGCTTATTCATACGTTTTCTCCCAAGAAGTTTTCTGTTCCGAATTTAAGAGATAAAAAAAGAAAAAAAGGAGATTTTGCAGATCATCAAAACCATATAAAAACGTTTTACAACAGGTGTTAAGGGTAGACACTACAGCAGGATAGATTAGAATGAGTAACTTATAACAAGGAAACTTCCCCGGTTGAATACTTAAGATATAACAATGTGTTTTTTTATTTTACAAGTTGTCTTTGAATATGTAAAGGAGGCATCTTGTATCTGAACCTAAACTAGATTTCTAGAACAGAAAGCTGTACCTTGGATACATCCATCCATCCATCCATCATCTATATACCGCTTAATCCTCATTAGGGTCATGGGGGGCTGGAGCCTATCCCAGCTGACTCAGGGTGAAGGCGTTCAGTCAGCGGCGTTAGTTTAATGTTTTATAGACTGTAAGACTGAACACGTGAGTATTTGTTGAGATGTCACATGAATCACCTCTGAAATGTTTTTACACCCAAATGCCTCTGAAGCACCACACACAAGCCTTTACAGTATTGTTTTCCAAGTGCCTTTTATTTCAATACCATGTTCTCTCCCAATGCTGTTTATGAGTTATTTATTAAAGTACAAAAACTGTGTCTTTGTCCGTTTTTGTCTGGTTAGCGCATGACTGTGAGATAAACCAGTTTTGTTACGAAAATATCTTTGCCCATTTTTTTACTGCTATATTCAGATTAGGTCACCATTATTTATACAGTACATTTCCATCCATCCATTATCTATATACTGTTTAATCCTCACTAGGGTCATGGGGGGCTGGAGTCTATCCCAGCTGACTCAGGGTGAAGGCAGGGGACACCCTGGACAGGTCACCAGTCTATCACAGGGCTACACTTAGAGACAGACAACCAAGCACACTCACATTCACACCTACGGACAATTTAGAATCACCAATTAACCTCAACATGTTTTTGGACTGGGGGCCGCAAGGTGGGGCAGTTGGTTAGCACTGTTGCCTCGCAGCAAGAAGGTCGCCAGTTTGCGTCCTGGTGAGGACACCCGGTATCTTTCTGTGTGGAGTTTGCATGTTCTCCCCGTGCAGCGTGGGTTCTCTCCGGGTTCTCCGGCTTCCTCCCACAAGTCCAAAAACATGTTGAGATTCTAAATTGTCTGTAGGTGTGAATGTGTGTGTGCTTGGTTGTCTGTTTCTAAGTGTAGCCCTGTGATAGACTGGTGACCTGTCCAGGGTGTCAGCTGGGATAGACTCCAGCCCCCCATGACCCTACTGAGGATTAAGCGGTGTATAGATAATGGATGGATGGATGTTTTTGGACTGTGTGGGAGGAAGCTGGAGAACCCGGAGAGAACCCACGCTGCACGGGGAGAACATGCAAACTCCACACAGAAAGATCCCAGGTGTCCTCACCTCCTTCTTGCTGTGTGGCAACGGGGCTAACCACTGATCCACCGTGCAGCTCACTTTGGATATATTCAGCTTCACAGTGTTTGCCTCAATTTGTTGACATATTCGAGTCAAAGGCTTTTCTTGGTAATGAAATATTCTATAAATCGGGCTGTGATTGACACAGGATATGAATTAACCCCCCTAATAAAGCCTTCACAATACAGACAGCCATAAAACTGGCAGGTTTACTGAGTGGAAGTGCTACTGAAGTGAGGATTACTGGATCAGAGTGGGAGAAAAAACTAATTTTATGAAAGTTACCTTTTAAAGACATGAGCTAAATGCATAGTTTGGATGTTTTCTCTCCACTAGTGTAAAAGCAGACATTTTATTGAAGCAAAATATGCCAAAATCTGTGAAAACAAAACCTCCCAAATACTATGATTTTGCTCGTAGTGTCATAATTGTCACAACACATAAATGAACATGTATATTAATGGCAGCGACTGCTTATTCGGTTTTCCACGGCATTAGAAGCCCCCATAAAACATGAGACGTTCCATCAACTCTTCAGGTTCTGGATCAGTTTCAGTGAAAATAATCAACCCGGTCAGTTATTTATTTGCTTTAAGCTTAGTGGAAAGTTATTTCTGCCTCGGCACTGGGGACGTAGTGGAAAAATGTGAGAGAAAACAAACTATTAGGTCCGGAAGATCCTCGAATCCTGTTTAGTCTCCAGAGAGTGTTTACAGAGGAATGCAGCTCTTTATCTCCCTGTGCTCCAGCAGGCCTCTGGAGATGACGGGACAGATTAATCTGCCGCACAGAACCTCTGCGGTTACTCATTTCTATTCGTCATACAGTTAATTCTGGGATAAGTCGCCTCGCTTAAAATCTGCACATTGTAAAATTTAAAATAAAGTATAATAGTGAAGCTGATCTCTTTCTCTCTTACAGAAAACTCAGAACAACCAGAAGCTTCACTGATATGGGTTATTTTCAGGAACTAGGAGGGGAGACTTTGCTTTAACTGCGTGAATCATATCACAGATTGAGCAAGAATGGGCAAAGAAACAGGGTGGCTTTTCACCGGAGAAGCAGAGGTGATGATGATTGTGCAGCTGAATATTTCACACATCCTGTCAGAACAGATACAGCAGACGCTCACACAGATGGAACCCAAATGTAGTCTGCTGGGCTGAGCCGTCACCCTCTGATCTTATCTTAGTGGAGATGCTGAGAGGTTAAATGTAAAAGGGTGAAAGAGACACGCCTTGCTATGCAACAGTGAAGAGAAAAACGTATTTAAATGAGTGTACACATCAAATACTGACCAAAAAGAAGAAAAATCTTACAAGTACCAGTATAAAATGCATGTTTTAATTGCTATAATATGTTCCATAGATCATCCCTTCATTCCTACTACAACAACACATCATAGTATAAGCATTTTAAGTTAATTATTACATCAAATAAATGTTAGTGTATCTGCCAACACATGAGCTTCCCTGAACTCTGGAGCCTCCTTGTGGTGAGTTTTGGTCGCTACAGGGTCCAAACGCATTAAAATAAGAAGTCAAAGCTTGTTTAATTTTTTTTTTTTACTTTTGTGTTAAATCCTGCCATTAGTGTCTCATTTTAACA